GCCGGATATGCAAATTTGAGGGATTCTAGTGGCCAATCAGAGCAAGGTTTCGAAGGTCAGGTTTTTAGAAGGGAACCAATCATGGTAATTGTTTGCTCTCTGAGAAACTTCAGCAGACTCGCTGGTGCGCAGCTTCCCACATTATTTATTTCTTGTTGAGCGAGAAAAAGAGATACAGCCAACACCCCAACAGGGTCTTGACATCACAGTCTACCCTCTGCCTTCAGCCCCATGTGTAGGCGCGTGCCTGGCACAGTCGGAGGTCTCCAGACTAGACCTGGGGACACTGCAGCGTGGGATTGCCTGGCACTGTTGTGTCTGCACCGTCACCTCACTTTCTGTACCCCCATTCCTGTAGCATACGGTTCACCCTCCTGAAGTGTTTGATGTAGTGGTTTTTAGCATGTTGCGAAGTTGTGCACCCATCACTTCTGTAATTCTAGAACATTTCATTCCCTCCAAAAAAAACCCCAGGGCCAGCAGGTGGTGTGGAGGTTAAGGCACTGGATCCTTTGTGGCTGACTTAATGGTTTAAGTCTCAGACCTGGCGGCTTGAAAAACACACTGGGTACGTGGATATGTGTGCCCAAAAATCCCAGGAGGGACAGAGGAGAAGGGATTGTGGCATGGCCATCCTCCTCGGGGGGTGATTTGTCACTTTCCCTCTTTCTATCTCTGTCTCTGGTGAGTACACTGACCCTATGGCAAAAAAAAAAAAAAAAAAAAGAAAAGAATAGAAAAGAAACCCCACACCCATCAGCTGTCACTCCCCATTTTTCTTCCCTAGCCCCCAGCCCCAGACAATCACTAAGCTGCTCTATGTCATCCAGTGACTTTCTATATTTTTTAAAAATTATTTTGTTTAACTTTATTTAATTTGACCAGAGAGGGACAGAGTGAGAGACAGAGAGAGAGAGAAAGTGAGAAAGCAAGCCACCAGGTCCGGGACTCAAACTGCAATTGGCCATGTGGGAGTCCAGCACGCTTAACCACTGTGCCACCTGCTGGCCACATTTTCTTTTCTTTTTTTTTCTTTTCTTTTCTTTTTAAGAGAGATTTTTGCGTGTGCTTACTGAAGACAGAGACAGAAAGTGAGAAATCACCCCTTGGGGGGATGGCCATAATGCAGTCCCTTCTCCATTACCCTCCATTCTCCTCTTGGGATTTTGGGCATGCACACACATACTTGGCATGAGTTTTAAACCACCAGATCCAGATCTATTGAACTGCAGTAGACTACGTGGGAGTACAGCGACATAACCATTATGCCACCCACTGGTCCCAGACTTTTTAGGGGGTGGAGTGGAGTGAGAAAGCAAACCACCATGTCCAGGGCTCAAACCACGGTTGGCCTTGTAGGAGTCCAGTGCCTTTAACCACCATGCCACCTATCGGCCCCTGGTCCCAGACTTTCTATACTTTCTAAAAAGCCACCTCTGTGACCTGCACTTCCCTGATATGAAATGCACACAATTGCATTGCAGAGTTTGAGGAGCTTTGGAAATGTGTATTCTTATGTAACAACCACTCTGATCAAACGGTAGCACGGCTCCGGCATTCCAGAAAACTCCCCTATATCCCAAATTCCAGATCAGGCACCCTGGAATGGGACAGCGGCACAGTGGGGGCCACACCCAGAGACCTCCCCGAGCGAGCCAGCACGCGTGCTCAGGGTCCAGCGCTGGCTGAGGCTGTGGGTGGATCACGGCTCGAGACCCTGTTTGGGGTGGTGTTTTTGTCTCTCTTGTCTGTGGAAGAAAGAAAACCTGAAAGAAAGAAGAGAAATCACATGATCTGTGTCTTCCTGTGTTCTGCTTTCCTTGAGTCTCTTTTTTTTTTTTTAAAGAATTACTTTTTAAATTTAATTTGATTTATTTATTCATTTATTCTTAATTTGAGCAGAGAAAGACACAGAGAGAGATAGAGAGAGAGAGAAACTGAGAAAGCAAGCCGCCAGGTCCAGGACTCAAACCGTGGTCGGCCATGTGGGAGTGTCCAGCACCTTAGCCACCCCGGCACCTGCTGGTCCCCCCTCCAGAGTCTCTTTAGTTAAGTAGTTACTGAGCCCAGCGGGTGGGACTGGGGGTGGGGCATGAGATGGAGAGTTGGAGGGGGCAGGTCCTGCTCTCCGTCCCACTGAGCCATGCCATCATGTGAAGGTGCCCAGGTCATCATGCCTGAGGAGCAGCAGTGACTTGAGAATAGTGCTCCTTGGGCCCCAGTCCTGCCTGTTCTGCAGTGCTGGGGACTTTTCTGCTCTGGTCCTTGTTTTCCTCTTAACATTAAGGCAGGGAGCCAGCAGGTGGTGTGGTGGTTAAGGTGCTGGACTCCCACATGGGACCGTGGTTTGAGTCCCGGACCCAGCAGCTTGAACATCATGCCAGACACATGTGTGCGCATGCCCAAAATCCCAAGAGGAGAGTGGCTGAGGAGGAATCGCGGTGTGGTCATCCCCCTGGGGGGTGATTTCTTATCTTAGTTTCCCTCTCTCTCCAATGAGCACACGTGTCCAATGGCAAAAACCTAGAAAAAAAGGAAATCTTAATTTTAAAAAGCTACTATGATGAGTTTAATTGATTTTTGAATGCTGAAATCCTATATACAACCCAACGTAATTTTTTCTTGTTCGTTACATTGGTCTGGGTCATATAAGTGTTTCAATCTTTAAATACTCAGAATTAATTCATTGGTGACTTTTATTATCAAACTTTTGATTTTATTTATCACTTTATTCATCAATTAGGTAAAAACAATGGAAGTTACAGTGCATTCCGATGTCATAGAGGGTACTGAGCGTGTCTTGCGGAAGTTGATGAAAATACGAGGAGGCGAGGGATGGCACTAGGCCGTGTCTGGTGGCCCTTTTCCGTTATGTCACCCTTCGTTTGTATTTCTCAAAGTAAATTCTTCACAAAGAATGCTCACCTTTGTTCTCAGTGACAGAGGCCTACATATTTAAGTAAAGAATGGCACCAAGAAGGGACTTCCCGACCTTGGAGTTCTGTGTAGGTCGTTTGCGGTGTCATCTGCTGTCTGGGGTGGGCCCTCTGGTGAAAAGGACCCTAAATGTCCACTGGGTCACGTCTCAGTTGAGCACCTGGCTCCATCCCACGTAAAGTAAGTCAGAACCCTGGGGCGCTAGGAGGGAAAGGAGACCTATCTGTGCCTCTTTGTCGTTGTCCTCCCTCCCTGACTCCAGGCAGGGTTGGAGACACTAGTGTGAACCTCTGTGTCCCCACAGCCCACTCTCCTCCGCTGTGGAACCTGGATTGACAGATTCTCTTTCAGTGGTGAGTGTGACTCTGAGTTGCCCCTGAGGAACAGTTTCCACGTGCAGTTAGGAGGCGCCTGGCAGCCCTTGGGAAGTTTAACAAGACCGGTGCGTCCGTCCACGCCTGTTGATCCTGCCCACGGGGCGGGTGCTCGGGACAGCGGGGTGAGGCTTGACCTGCGGAGTGATCTCTGCATTTCATACAAGAACTCACACTGGGTGAGGAGTGACCCAGGCCTCTGAGGAAGGCCCTGACCTGCGGTTTACAGTGCGTGTCTGGGACAGGCTGTGTTGCTCGAAGGACCCAGCGACTGTCTCAGGATCTCACTGGTGACAGCCGCACGGCCTTCAGCCGCCGGGCGCCGTGCTCCTGGG